CATCCATCCATCCAGCCATCCATCCATTTTCTTCTGCTTATCCGGGGTCGGGTCGCGGGGGTAGCAGCCTAAGTAGGGAGGCCCAGACTTCCCTCTCCCCAGCCACTTGGGCCAGCTCTACCGGGGAAATCCCGAGGCGTTCCCAGGCCAGCCAAGAAACATAGTCCCTCCAGCGTGTCCTGGGTCTTCCTCTGGGCCTCCTTCCAGTGGGACGTGTCTGGAACACCTCACCAGGGAGGCGTCCAGAAGACATTCTAAACAGATGCCCAAGCCACCTCAACTGGCTCCTCTCGACATGGAGAAGCAGCGACTCTACTCTGAGTCCCTCCCGGATGATCGAGCTTCTCACCCTGTCTCTAAGGGAGAACCCAGACACCCTGCGGAGAAAACTCATTTTGGCTGCTTGTATACGAGATCTCATTCTTTCGGTCACAACCCAAAGCTCGTGACCATAGATGAGGGTAGGAACATAGATCGATCGGTAAATTGAGAGCTTCGCCTTTTGACTCAGCTCTCTGTTCACCACGACAGACCTGTACAGCGCCTGCTTCACTGCCGACGCTGCACCTATCCGCCTATCGATCTCATGCTCCATTTTTCCCTCATTCGTGAACAAGACCCCAAGATACTTAAACTCCTCCACTTGGGGTAGGACCTCCTCCCTGACCCGGAGAGTGCACTCTACCCTTTTCTGGCTCAAGACCATGGCCTCAGATTTGGAGGAACTGATCCTCATCCCAGCCGTGTCGTATTCGGCTGTGAACGCTCCAGCGAAAGCTGTAGACCACGATCTGATGAAGCCAATAGGACCACATCGTCTGCAAATAGAAGAGATGCAATCCTAAGGCCACCAAAACAGATCCCCTCAACATCTTGGCTGCGCCTAGAAATTCTGTCCATAAAAGTTATGAACAGAATCGGTGACAAAGGGCAACCTTGGTGGAGTCCAACTCTCACCGGGAACAAGCCCGACTTACTGCCGGCGATGCGGACCAGGCTCTGACACCGGTCATACAGGGACCTAACAGCCCGTATCAAAG